CCAAAAGCCACGAAAAACTGAAAGATAACCATCAGTTTTGACGAAAACCGTCAAACTGAAAAACTGATTCTATACCTGCGCCCGATCGGGCCGGCCACCGCCCAATCGGGCTGTCATCAGCGTTCAATTCAGTAGCTTCTCGCGCCCGATCGGGCAGCAACCCCTAATTCCAGAAATACGATTTCCGCAAATTCACTTCCTCTCTCGCGCCCGATCTGGCGGTGGCTGCCCGATCGGGCGGCGGAAAGGTAGAAATTCAGACCACCCTCGCGCCCGATCGGGCGAGCACCACCTCGATCGGGCGGCTGACCGGGCGGGCAAACAGGGCAACAACTTTGTATACTTGAGACAGAGAAATGAGTTTCTCTTTTTCGAGGGCTCTTGGTGTTCTTTCAATATTATTGCTTTAATAATCTTCACTAATTAAATTACAACACCATAGCCTAAGTAATTTAATTATCAACTTGAAATTTGTCTTCAATTCTCAAAATTAATCAACAGTAATATGGTATGAACATTACAGAAGACGGTGGTTCCAAACTCTGCTCATTCTCATCCTTTGTTTTTGGAATTTTCTAGCTTATTTAGATGATTGTTGATGTGAATTTGTGCATATTGCCGTATTTTTTTATTTGAATTTGGTAGATTTTATCACGTTTATGTCTCAAAAATAGTTTGCAAAAAGATTTGATCGAGCTTCGCCGATAAAGAAATCACCACACCGTTCTCTCTCCTCCGCCGGAAAACAAGATTGTCGTGGTCCATCAATATGTTGTCCGGAAAGAAGAGAATGGTGGTGAGATCGTTGGAGATGGACTGTTAATTTACTAGAGTCGATAAAGATAAATGTATAATTTGGAGGTAAGATGCACTAATAGTTGTTACAATTTCAAAGGGAGGAGGAAGGATGAGTGAGATTTAGTGCCGAAGGGTGTAGGAGAATGCAGTGGGGAGGGAGTGTAGGGAATTCTACGTACACTGGGGTGTAGGTAAAAAATTGACCCTTAAACCGATCAAATCTGATTTTCGTGCTTCATAATTTTTATCAAAATCATAAATATATTGATAGCCCTTGAATAAGTTTTCCAATGATATATCATAAGCCCAATTCCAAGATATAACGAAAAAGATATGATCGAAATACTAAACTTTATCCAAAACCGACATTGTTTTACTATTTTGACCGACATTATAAATTTTTCCCGAGTTTTTAGAGAGCCACGTTGAATCTAATTTTCTCAGCGCACCATGTAGGATTATAAATCTTAATAGTAGCCAATTAAATAAGAGATAATTAATTTATTTTAAAATTAAATAATTCAAATGCCACGTAAGCAAAATTGCCAAATGAGATTTTTAAGTTTAAATTAATTAAATATTAAATATTATATTTTAATATTAGGAGTTTTATCTAAATATATAACAAATTTTAGTTCATAAATACGAAAATAAAAAATTAAAAAAAAATCAAACAAATCGTGCATCGCACGGCTTCATCTAGTTTTTGATATAGGTTAGATATTAATCTGATTTTATTTGTTTTGGAAATTAGACTTCCTGAGCTGTCCAATAGTATATTATTTATTTTATTCCGAATTTTGGATTAAAAGTTCTAATAACAACAGAAATTGCAAAACTGCTGATCCGTGCGACGCGTTTTCAAAAATCTATCTTCTTTAAAAAATCTATCTTCACTCGATTATAATCCTATAAATCCCAACAACTATTTTTTCGATCTCATACGGCCCAAAAGGTTTAGACGTAAAGCTACGACGTACAATTTCTATTGTCTTAGATTCATTTCTAATCCTGTTTGAGTAATGAGAAGTCCAAAATAAGATCCAGAGGTTCTACCCTTTAGACCAAGGTGTGAAGGCAAACTCCCGAGGGTGATATCATTTTTCTAACTCTTTAATTTAATTCTTTTGATTTATTCTTTTTATTAAAGTTACTAACAATTATTATTCATAATGTGGTATATATTCAAAGTTGTACATTCGGATTGAGTATTATTTAATTCTTTTGGTTTTATTTACTCTAATTATTTTTTTTTATTGCTAGTAACATGTTTAGGATCATTATTTCTAATTATTAGTATTTTTTTTAGGTGTTATATTGATCTTGTTAGTATCATGCCTATGAATTTTTTTTTTATCAATAATTATTTAGTATCATGTTTAGGATGCTTTTATGTCGGTTTTAATTTTAATTTTATTGAGTTATTGCTTCCAACATTTTTATGCACGCATATTTAATCTAGTTGATTTATTTTATTTTATTTGTTTTGGTCACCTATATTTCATGTTTAATTGGGAATATGTAACTGAAAATCACGTCTAATAAGATAATTTGAACAACCATTTTCGGTTCCTAGTAATCTTGTTGTTATATTTAAGTGATCACAATTATTATATTTATGTGTGCATTTAATATTCAACCAATTTATATTAATTAGTTTGGAGAGAATTGAATCTTGTTTGTATGTCTTTTGGGTTGCAATTAATACATGACGCTATAAGAATCGGGTAGAGGCCAATACGGGCAACATTGAGTTCATGACTCAATCCGTACCATCATCCCCGAATATCCAATTATATATGGTTCAAGTTTGTTATGGAGTTAAGAATCTCATGGTTTATAAACTAGGTGTAACCTTCATGGATCAAACAGTTTGGAGCAAATTGAATATTGTTTGTATGTCTTTTGAGTTGCAATTAATACATGTCACTATAAGAATCGAGTAGAGGCCAATACAGGTGGCATTACTTCACTTTATGACTCAATCCATACTATCATCTTGGCATATCTAGTTATGGTTCAGGACCACTATTGAGTTAGTAATCTCGTAGATTATGAATTGGGTGTAAACTTCATGGATCAATTCATTGTTACCTCTTGGTTGTTCTCTTATCGTGGTTGGCTTTTATGATCCATGAACGGTTTACAAGAAGCGGTTCCCTACTTTTTTGTCCCTATTTGTTATTTGTCAAATCCAACTTCCTATGATTTATTTCCAAGCATATTCACCTAAGCTCCACGTACGCGCAATTCAAACAACGCCTACAATATAATAGCATACACAAGTTAACAAATACATCAAATTCATCATTGTCTTTTCACGTGGGATAATTTCCCCTTCTTAAATCCACACCATTGATGTAACATTAATACGTACTCTTTCCGTTTTTTTAAAGTGACACACTTTCCTTAAACGGCCGTTTTTTTAAGTGACAAACTTCTTCTTTTAGAAATTCCTTACATTTTAATAATATATCTTCACCCCACTATCTCTTACTTTATCATTTCTCACTCCTTTCATGATCCCCAATTCCCCTCACATTCTTTTACTTTATCATTAGATAATACACCCAGGTGCACCATGCGCATGGTGCATCGGGTAAACAAAAAAAAGACGGAAAGAACATACAATGTTTGATAAAGAACATATCTATGTTTGACAAAGAACATACCTTTAATATGTTCTTTGAGTGTGATCAGTGTGTTCTTTGAGTATCATTATATGTTTTTTACATTATAATTTATGTTATTTGACATATGTTGATAAACATATATGTTTTTTTGGGTTTAATGCTACAAAGTATGTTGTTTAAATTTGGCGTGTATGTTCTTTAAGGTCGTAGTGACGCCCAAATTCTATTTTTATTATCATATGTTATATTTATATAAATTTTATTATCGTATGTTTTTTGAGTTTGATCAGTGTGTTATTTAGGTATTAACTATATGTACTTTCCAATATAAATTATGTTCTTTTAACATATGTTATTTTGAAATTTGATATTGAAATCTTAAATTATTTTTAAATGAAAATAATATTAGAGTAAAAAAACTAAATTATTATGGGAACTTGATTTTTTTGGAGAGATAGAAAACTATTTTTTGGGGAAATGAAATATTTGGTAAAGAATTTTAAAGAGGTGATCAACATTGGCATGACTCACAGCCCAACCCGATCTGACATAGAGTGGGTTTGGGCAAGCCTAAAAATGCATTTTTAGTTAAAATCCGAACCGGGTTCGAATAAAGCCCGAAAACCCGCTACTTTTTCACGGGTTTGGGCACGAGTAATTATGGTATGACCCAGCCCTACTCGATTTTTTTATCACCTCTAAATTTTTTCCGTTAATGTATAATTTTTCAGAAAATTTTTAAGTTATTATCTCGTTCTTTTTATTATATCTTTATGTTCTTTGGTTATGCATGTTGTTGTCAAATACAAACATGTTCTTTGTCAAATACATGTATGTTCTTTATGAAACACAAGATGTTCTTTCCGCCTTTTTTTTTATTCATTTGGGTGTACGATGAGCACTGTACACCCGTGTGTATAAACCACAGATTAGGTCATTTCTCACTCCTCCAACCTACCCCACAAACATCTTATTTTATTAAAGTCAATAAAATCTCCTAAAACTGCATGTCGGTCAAATTGTGTCACTTAAAAAAAACAGAGGGAGTATACATTTCTACCTAAGTCAGTAAGAGATGGTCAGTGATTAGTGATCGTCGGCGGGCCGGGTGGGCTGCCTTTTATTTTTGTGTTACTCTTTGTGTCGATAATAAGGTGAGTAGTTATGTCTAGTTGGGGCTTTATTTTCTATTTGGATTGATTCTTTGAAATTTTTTTGTCATTGGTATTTGCTCAGCTTCCGGCTTCATTCTCTAATAAAAATTGTTACGTTCGTGGGTTTTGGTTTACATAAACCGTCATTTAAAACACAATGCTTTTTATACACATGAAAATAGGCAAATAGCATTTGTATAATAGATACGAAATAAAAAAAACAAAAAAAAAACTAAACTCTGTATTCACTAGCAGAAAAAACGTTATTTGTAACTGACAAAAATGGGACTTTTGTAACCAACTTCGTCTGTTACGTATACAAGGGTTACAAATATTATTATTTCTAACACACATGCATGCTACAAATCACATAGTAACAATCATTTAGATAAAAAATATAATAACAAAATTAAGGTTTTTCATAAAAGTGAAATGGGAACATATATATTGCTACACAAATATAATAAAAGTTTGTTTATTATGTAGCAGTTGAACACAATTTTGTAACATCCATCCCCTAAGATAATTACAAGCCATCACCATGATGTTGAAGCTTAAAATCATCGAGATTGTCTCCAACCTCATTAAGTGATTTAGATAAAAAGCTTTTGATGAGTTCCTCGGTTGAGAATTTCCTATAAATAGGTGGATTTTCTTCTGATGTTAGCTCTTTTATTGGACCATGTATCTTCTCAGATGAGTAAACACCATTAAAATTGAATGCAATAGATTGCCTTGGTCCCACCTTTTTTGCAATTACTCTGTGACTTGCACCTTTTATTATATCATTAGTTATCATCTGTAAGATATAAGATAAGGGTTAAAAGAAGTATATCGCAAATATATAAAACTCAAAATTAAACATTAAGAACTAGATATTTTAATAATTTAGTTTATAAGGTAATGAAAAAAAAAACATGAAGTATTTTTCCAAAGTTAACAATCAAACCACCAGTAACAGGCTCAATATTAACCCATTTGTTTTCATAAAGAACCTGGAGTCCACCAATATTGTCCTGTAGGAGTATTGTGACAAATGTAGTATCAACATGAGCATCTATTCCCATAGTCAATTCTGGCTCTGGACATGCTGGGTAATAGCTGTTAACTATGGCCCAACTTTTATTACATTTTGCGATATTCCCAAGACATTCGGGTTCAATTCCAAGACCTAATGATATTAACATAAGTATGCGATCACCAAGGTTATGGATATGGTTAATGTACTCTAACATTACATCCCTGCAAAAAAGAATTTATTATATAAATTATATGTAAATATTTTAAATCGACCATTTGAATTGTAAGGGAGACATATGGCTTATATGTACCCTCTTATAAATTGATTAAGTTTGCATTAAAAGTTTGAATTAGATGAGAAGAAACTCAAAGGGAATTTTATTTTTCAATACGCATCAAAATTCACAAACTGGAATTTTCGAATCTATATCTATATCTACCGGGTGCACATGTAGTTTTTTTATTTAACAAATATTACTTTAGAATATGCTGCAAAAGTCAAGTGAAAATTTAATTTTAAGTTCAAAATTTTTATCTTACATGCTTTTACCATTATATTTTCAAACTTTTAAAAAAGTAAAATTTAAATAATTATTGTTTTCCACATTTTATTTTTAGTAGAAACATTCCATTTAGGCATGTTTGTCAACATATAAATTCAAATTTTATAACTTTTAAATTCGAAAAGTAAAAGTTGAGATAAATCAAACAATACTTTACCCGAGTCAAATTAACTTCCGTGATTAGTGTCCTAAGTAAAAAATTATCAACTTTATAGAATCAAAACACATATAAACTAAAGAAACAAAGTTGTTAAATACAAAAATAAATACAAGAAACAATTAAAGTATACATTTTTTACATTAATTTGTAAAGTCAAATTAATTACTACTTTAAACACCATAAAAAAAAGCATGAAATTGGTTTTTAATACCAAATCGTTTAAAAGTTGTATTTTACCGCCAAAAACAATCTTAAAAACTGTTTTTCACCACCACTCAACAGATTCCATCCAATAATTCGTTATGTGGGGCCTATCGTGTCCACGTTTTGTTAGGGTATTGATCTAACAAAGAAGAAACAAATTTAAAACCTAAAACTTAATTCCCCAACTAGCCCCACCCTAAAAACACCTCCCGCACCCTTAGCCCTCTGTCGGTACCCTACCCTCGGGCCTCTACCTCTTACATTATCAAAGTCCACCCTTCTCCTTATCCGCCACCCCAACACCTACTCTAAACCATTTCTCCTCACCCCGCAACCACCCCTCTTTTCTCGATCCCTTCCCTCATAATGACCAATTTTTTACCAAAGCAGTCCTAAAACGGTTGATTTTGGTGGTCAAAATCGGCCGTTTTGAAAGTGGATGAAAATTAGGGGTGGTTGTTTGGGGTGGGGGAAAGGCTTTAGGTCGGGATTGAGGTGGGGGAAAGGAAGGGGAAGGTATCAATGGTAGGGGCTAGGGAGGGGCGTATCAACCATCAGGGGTGGAGGTTAGCGACGGGCCATGGCAGGGGTTGGTGGTGGCTCTAGGGTGGGACTGGCTGGGTGTTAGGTTTTAATATATTTTTTTTACCAATTCCTTGGTGAAAGTGGACAAATGGGCAATATGGCCCACTAGCGAATTCTTGGATGGAATTCGATAAGTGCTGGTGAAAAACAATTTCTAGGATTTTTTTTTTTGTGGTGGTAAAATATAACTTTTGAAAGATTTGGTGTTAAAAACCTATTTCATGTTCTTTTTTGTGTGTTAAACTTTGAAATTTCTTTAATGTAAACATTAAATAAAATAATCTACAGATTAATGGGTCGAATATGGTTCAATAATAATAATTAATAGATTTGAATAAAGAAAATAAGATAACATCTAGTTTGGTTGTTAAAAAGTACTTAAAAATGAATAAATGCACAATGAGATTTTTCTTTATGCACTAGGTTTAGTTACATTAAATTTTATTAGGGCACATAGGGAGTATACATTTTATGTACATAGTATAGTAACACTAATCTTATAATACGATTTTGGAATTTAATCAAGTGTATGTAATGTGAGACAAAAATCAACATACCTACATATAGGAGGCAACTCTTGAGGATCAACAATACCGCCATTTTGTCGAGCGTTAACATACAAAGTGTTCCTCCAATTTGCAGCATTTGAGTGATACAAGTCATAGTTGCTAATAAAAAACACAGGCTTTGATTGAAAATCACGACTATAGAACATTTTCTTTGTTTCAACATCTTGTTCGTGAAACATTCGACTTCGATTAATCATCGTTTCTAAGAATTCCTTAGAAATCCCATGGTTAATCACTTGAAAAAATCCCCATTCCTTTGCTGCCTTAATAATTTCCTTGGCAATCTCTGCAGTCTGATCTTTATTTTCACCAAAATTAGCTAAGTCTATTATCGGCACACTAATATTGTCAGTACATGTAGCAAAATATTTTAAACGATCCTCAAGCGGTCTGACAAACATCCTAGGAATTTTTTTGATTCCAGCATCTACAAGCCCTTTAACCCCAAGTTTTCCTTCATCAAACGCCTTGAGTTCATTAAATCGATCATGGCGCCTTTGTCTTTCATCGAAGGCATTTTGGGTATCCATTTAACCTTAAAAGCTTTCTTTGATAGACTAACTTTAAAAGGATTTTTTTTTTATTCAAATTATTGTAGAGTTGATGAAAAATATGAGAGGCATAATTCATTATTTGTATATATACTATCGGAGGCCGTATGCAAGAGGAAATCAAGGGTTAATCAACTTGGTTATTCATGTGAATCTCATTAATTGGAAATAATCAATAGACAGCTAAGGTGGTGCAGTCAGCTTGCTAATCCATGTGAATCTCTTTTATTTAAAATAATAAATAGACAGCTAATGTAATTAACTTTTTTTTTGTGCTTCAAATTGTTGTAGAGTTGATGAAAAATATGAGAGGCATAATTTAGTATAAGTATATGTGTGTGTGTGTGTGTGTGTGTGTGTGTGTGTGTGTGTATATATGATATACACATATATATATATATACACACACACACACTACCGGTAGCCCGTATGCATAAGGATATCATGGGTTAATCAACTTGATTATTCATGTGAATCTCATTAATTGGAAATAATCAAATAATTAATAGACAATTAAGGTGGTGTAATCAGTTTGCTTATTTATGTGAATCTCTTTTATTGAAATAATAAATAGACAGCTAAGCTAGTGTAATCAGCTTTTCTTTTTATTTATTTGTTTATTTTATTTTTTTGTGCTTCAAATTATTATAGTGTTGATGAAAAATATGAGAGGCATAATTCATTATATGTATATATATACTATCAATAGGCCATATGCATGAGGAAATCATGGGTTAATCATCTTGATTATTCATGTGAATCTCATTAATTGGAAATAATCAAATAATTAATAATACACAATTAAGGTGGTGTAATCATCTTGCTTATCCATGTGAATCTCATTTATTGAAAATAATAAATAGACAGCTAAGCTAGTGTAATCAGCTTAATCATCAATGTGAATATCATTTATTGGAAATAATCAATAGACAACTAAGCTAGTGTAATCAGCTTACTTATCCATGTGAATATCATAAATGAGAAATAATCAGATAGACAGCTAATAAGCTACTGCACAAAAGACATGAGGCCATTGCTTTATCATGTGTGAATATATCAAGAGAATAAACAAACAAAAATTTCTTGTTTCGAGTTGTGAAAAGTTAGTATTCACGCCATACACACTTAGTTTGATCACAAGATACTCCCTTCATTTTTTTAAAATGTAACACGTACTTTTATTGGCACGGTGTTATATGCGAGATTTTTAAATATATATAAATAGATAGGGGAGGGATCCGATGAGAATAGGTCCATATTTGAGAATTCATAGTTATATGAGAACTGATCTAAAATTTAGAACACGTGAGTAAAAATTTAGAACATACGAGTTAAAATTTAGAGCATGTGGCTTAAATTAAAATTTAGAACATATGAGTAATAATTTAGAACATCTGTATAAGTCATAATTTAGAACAAGTGATTAAAAATTTAGAAAATTTGCTTTATGAAATTTAGAGTATATGAGTAAAATTAAGAACATCTGATTTAAGATTATGAATATGTGAATAAATATTTAGAACAAATGATATAAAATATAGAAAATGTGAGTAAAAATTTGGAACATATGAGTAAAAAGTAGAACATACGCTTTAAAATCTGGAACATATAATTAAAAATCTTAGAACACACGTTTAAAAATTTAGAACATATAAGTTAAAATTTTGGAACAAGTTATTTGAAATTTTGGAACAAGTTATTTAAAATTTTGGAACAAGTCATTTAAAATTTATAACTTCAAACTTAACTAATTTAGGGTTTAGAACATGTGACTATGTGAGTACTAAATTAGAACATTTGATTTAATTTAGAACACCTCAGAAAAAGTTTAATGCTTTTTGGGTTTATTCGTGATCTTCGTCCATGACCATAAAAGTCATGTTTTTTTAGGTTTTGTTTTTCCTTTAATGCTTATGTTGTTCAGTTTAGGGAAACAATAATTTTACCAAATGTCACTGAGTTTTTAATTTTCACCAAATGCCGTGAAATTTTCACAAATTCACCAAATGTAACTAAGCTTATAAAAAATTCACCAAATGTCATTAATGACTAACGGAGGTTTCTCGTCATTAATATGAATGATTTTTTGACATTTGCTACCACCTAAAACGCCTCGCTTCTGATTTGCTGTCGTTTAAAAAAAATAATAATAATTTGTTACCACCTAAATTAGAGTTGGTTAGAAATCACTACCACTTAACGGAATTCGTTAGGATTTCCGTTAAGTTTATTTAAAAAAAAGAAAAATTAAAAAAAAAAGAAAAAAACCAGCCACCCCACTGCCACCCCCTCCCCTCAACTGCCACCCCTCCCCCCTGCCGGTGCCAAAAGATTCGATCGGCGCCGGCGACCTCACCCCCTCCCATTTCCCCACCCACGAAGCCAACCCCCCTCCCTATCCCTCACTCACGAAGCCAACCCCACCACCCACGAAGCCAGCCCCCACCGAAATCAGCCCCCCTCCCAGTTACCCCACCAGAATCTAACCCCTCCCCTTCCCCCACCAAAAAACCGACACCCCTAACCCTAATGGTGTTGCGGGTGGGTGCAAATTGGTGGCTGCGAATTGAGGAGGGTCTGCAAAATTGGTGGCGGAGTTGGTGTTGCGGGTGGGTGCGAATTGGTGGCTGGGAATTGGTGCGAATTGGTGGCTGAGTTGGTGGAGGGAACGGGGAGGGGGGCTGAATTCGGTGGGGGTTGGATTTGGTGGGTGGGGGAAAGGGAGGTGGGGGTTGGCTTCGTGGGTGGGGGAAAGGGAGGGGGGTGGGGTCGCCGGCATCGGCCGTAATTTTGGGCGCCGGCCGCCGGCAGGAGGGAGGGGGAGGGGTGGCTAGACGGTGGTACGGCCCCACTAACGGAAATTGTAACGGTGTAAGGCATGGGGTAGTGATTTCTAACAAACTATGTTTAGGGTGGTAAAAAAAAAAAAAAACAGTAGCAAATATGAAGCTAGGTGTTTTATGTGGTAGCAAATGTCAAAAAATCCTAAGATTAAATCATGACACATGTCATAATATGATTGGTTTATTATAATCATTTCGTTTATAATTAATAAAACTAATATTTTTTTTTTGATTTTCATGACCAAAAATGATGTGGTAAAGTTTTCGGGGGTCATCTTGACCCTTTACGGGTTCAAATAATTAAGCTCAGACAAAAAAAAGGGTAAATGCCCTGTATTATGTAACCAAAAATATCTCGATTATCGTGTCATTATTTTGCAACTATGAAAATTAATCCAATAAGGTTTTTGGGTTCATTTTGACCCTTGAAGAATCTAATTTAAGCTCATATTTGGCGATGATTTACGTAAATGCCTCTTTTTGCAAATTTTACGGTAAAAAAAATTACGATCTTGACACACAAAACGGGGCATTTAGGTGTTTTTTTGCCAATTTTGAGCTTAATCCAACCCCATGGAAGATCAAAATGACCCTTAAAACCTTGCCTGATCAATTTTCATGGTAAAAAATAACGACACACTAATCGAGATATTTTTTGACATACAAAAAGGGGTATTTACGTTAAGTTTTTGTTGCTTAATTTGAATCCATAAGGTCAAAATTAACCCAAAAACTTTTTTTGAACAATTTTTCTCACGAAAATCAAGAAAAAAATGTTAATTTTTGTTAATTAATATAAATGATTAGAATGAACCAATCATATCATGACACATGTGATATCTAACGTAGTTAAAGGCTTATTAATTAATGGCTTAGTATTTAATGGCATCCAGTGAATTTTTACAAAGTTCAATGGCATTTGGTGAATTTGTGAAAACTTCATGGCATTTAGTGAATTTTCAAAAAAACTCAATGGCATTTGGTGAAATCACTGTTAGGGAAACATGAAAAATACTATTACCATGTTAAATGGCATTATTTTTTTTAACTTTGTTTTCCATTTATTTTGTCTCTTCTGCATTCTTACAAGTTAGGGAGAGTGTTAGCTCTAAAAAAAATAAAATGCGAAATAATACTAATCTACTAATCACAATTTAATGTTTTACGTTGTATAAGGTAAGAACTAAGAATAATTCATTATTTTAGAACTCAAAGTATGTAAATTGCGTGTAATCGGAGAAAGAGAAAAAAAATTATTATGTTTTTAAATGTGTTTTTTGTTTTCTTTATGCATCGAGTATTGCATTCAAAATTTCTCATATGAGTCGACTAAATATATTTTAATGATAGATTATACTTGCTCTCATACCCGTCAACCTAATTAACATTTTTTCCCCACTACAAAACTATAATAAAAAAAATCTACATATCAATTTTTTCACCTGAATATATACCTTCGAGGTTATTAAAATGCCCTTACAGTTTTCAAAATTCACCAACCACCCTTGCGTTTTCAATAAATTGACCAAATACCTATAATGACTAACAATTATTAACTTCACTAGTCATTAACCCCTTAGCTAACCCATAAACCCTTAATTAACTAAAGGGAAATACTTCAAATTGCATGCACTTGTTTGCAAGCTACGAAAATTGGTATAAGGAGTCAATTTGGGTCATATAGGTCAAAATTGGATGAAAACGGCTACGAGTACCTTAAGTTGCGTCCAAGGAAATGTCTTAGTGTGTGTGCTATAGCTTTCGCCCCACAATATTGCTAAATTTAGGCTTTGAGGGCCAATTGGTTCTTGAGGGTTGTATTCAAAGTCAAAATTGACCAAAAAAAAAAAAACCGACTGAAAATATCTCATCTGTGTCACCAAAAATCCTGATGATTGAAACAAACATCACCGCCATATGGTTTCAGTTGTGTGTTCGACAATAGGTCTATGGTAGACCCTGGTCCATCTAAAATAGGTGGACCACTAGCCCAAATACCACAATCCATCATCACATTACAAATAAAACGGCCCAACCTCCTTTCTTTCTTCCAACCTCCTTTCTTTATTTCCACTCCAACAATAAATTCTTAACTTATTTCCACTCCATCAACACAAACACTATGAAAACTCTTGTTTATCTCTCCTCTGAAAATACAAGCAGCCATGGATGAAAAGCAGCAAAACAATGCAGAAAGGTAAATAAAATTTCTGAACTTATACTTTCTTTAAATTTCTTTGAATTTGCAATTACTAGATCGTGGTTGTTATAATTTGTTAAAATTTCATTCGTAATTTTTGTAAATTGGGTAAAATTTATGAACAATTTTCACATTTTTAGGGACCCAAATTCTTCTGATAGTGATGAAGATCAATTGTAAGTAAATTAAAACCCTATATAATTGTTGAATTTTGAAATTTAATGATGAATTGAAACACTGAGTTATTTAAACAGGACAATTTCTCAAATCCGAAACAAAAGGAAGAAGCCAACAAGTCCAATTGTTGATCCAAAGATTTTAAAAGAGATAGACAAGCATCATTCAGAAAATGGAGAAACCAGGTAAATCAGGCTCAAATATTTCGTGTTTATAGTTCAAATAATTCGTAATTGTTGTTCAAATGATTTGTGGTTTTAGTACATATAATTTGGGATTATCGTTCAAATATTTTGTGGTTTTAGTTCATATATTTTGTGATTACTGTTCAAAAATTGATATGGTTATTTTTTAAACTAAGAAGCATTTATTTTATATGTTTAAATGTTTTGTATTTTTAGTTCATATAATCAGTGATTACTGTTCAAATATTTTGTGGTTCTAGTCCATATAATTTGTGATCAATGTTCAAATATTTTGTGGTTTTAGTTCATATTACTGTTCAAATGTTTAATGGTTTTAGTTCATATAATTTGTGACTATTGTTCAAATTTTGATATTGTTATTTTTTAATCCAAGAAGCATTTGTTTTATTACAGCAACCAATCTGAACTTCAACCCAAATCCACCACCCAACACCAATCCATAGCTACTGAACAACCCCCAACACCTCAAGAAAACCACCACAACTCAGAAAAACCACCACAACTCCAATCTATGACCACAGAACAACCCCCACAACCACCACCCAACACCTCAAAAAAAACATCTACAAGCCCAATCCATAACAACATAACAACAACCTAACCCACCACCCACCACCCACCACCTCAGATCAACCCCATACAACAACTACAGGTCAGCCCCAACAAAAAAAAAAGCAAAAAGAAAACATGTTGCAACCAAAATCAAATCGAATAAAGTAACAACAAGACAAGCCTCTCAAAAAGAAGCTGAGAATCAAGTTCAAAAGGAGGCTGAGAATCAAGCTAAAAAGGAAACTCAAAAGAAGATTGCTAATCAAGCTAAAAAGGAAGCTGAAAAGAAGGTAAAGAAAGAGTATCAAAAGAAGAAGGTTCAGAAAAGGCAAGAAAATGTTCAGAAGAAGAGAGAGGAAGTTCAGAAGAGTGAAATTAAGGAGAAAAAAAAAAAAGAAAAAGAAGAGATAATGTTGATAATTTCATTGATCTGGAGAATGTTGTGGATCTAAATGATGATGATAATGAGTGTTTGAATGAAGAAAAACTTAATGTTAGAGTTGGACATCTAAAGCTCATTAAGTTTGTGAGAAACTTGAGCCCACAGCAAAAGGAAGCAGTGATTGAAATGGGATTTGGATCCTTACTTTCAATCAACCTCCCACAAAATGATGCAACATTTTGTGCTTGGCTTTTGAAGAATTTTGAAGAAAACATGTATAATTTTGATTTATTATGTTAATATATATATTGCATTTGTTCAAAAATTTGTGACTAATATTCATACAATTTGTACCAGTTACACTCTTTATCTCCCTTACAACAAGTACATTGAAGTTACTGAAGATGATGTTCAAGTTGTTTATGGAATCCCAAGAGGGCATAAAATTGTTAGTGAAGAGGAAGTGCTGAAAATAGAAAATGAAGAGGATCTTGAGGTTGATACACTATTGATGAGATGGAGAGAAAATTGGGGTGTTACTACAGGAAGCCCTACAACACAAAGTCTTTTTGTGAATTATGAGAGTGAAGACGAAAAGGAAAAAAAGAAGAAGGAGCAACAAAATCATAAGAGAAAGTATGTTCACAGTACCATAGAATCAAAAGAGAAGAACACAGGAGAAGCATCTGAGATTTTTGTGATAGATTTTCTTGTGATTGCTGTGAATTCATTAATTAAGTCAAGTCAAAACCACCACTCACGCTACATGTTCCTGAACTCCATTCAAGATTGCTTTGAAATCAAAGAGTTTAATTGGTGCAAGTATGTACTTAAATGCTTGGTTAATTTAATGACTGATTGGAAGAAAAACACAAAGGGATTTTCTCATCTAGAACAAAGCCCATGCCAAACATGACATTGTTACAATGGTGATTCATACCAACAAATGGGGCACAAATCATCCCATACTTGTTGGTCCTATAGGTAGTATCAAATACCATCAAATCACCAAAAAACTCATAATCACTTTTCATCCTCCCATCCCTCCAAAAAACTGAACAGAGAGCATTATGTTCATCTACTTCAAACTCATGAAAAAAATCACTTTCCTTAGCTTGCCTTTGAGCAAGGTATTTAATGAATTGATTGCAATCCAAACCTTCAAGTCTGTTAAACTTTTCAGAGCCTAAAGCATTATACACATCTTTCTTAGTGCATCCAAGATTTGGCGAACCCCTAACTTCCTTTGATATGGCACGAATAGAGTCTGTGACATGAACACCACTTGCCTTCATATTACTAATGAACTTCAACTGATGTTGGTTAACTTTTCTTTGAGACCTTAGAAGATGTCGCTTATCTAATGGAATCATGGCATGATTATGCTCCATAAAATGTTTTGTAACAGTCCAAATCCCCTTATCATCAATAATAAACTCAACATAAGCTTTACAATCTGTACGAACATCCAATTTCTCAAATCTCCTAACATCACTCTTAGAATGGTCTTTCAAACCAGCATTGGAACAAAAATATTTCCTACTCCGCCAAACAGAAGTTTGACCAACTTTTCTTACTTTTGCCCTCCTTATACTAAAGCCAAACTTAAAAGCATAATCATTGTACAAATCATATGCTTCAGCATCACATGTAACTTGCTTCAAGTATAACTCAGACTGTTTAGCTTCAACAAAAACAATTGAATCTGTACTGACTGAAATATAATAAAATTGACAAATATTAACTATGTTCATAATTATAAACAATATGTTAAGATTAAATGTCATAATGTTCATATTACATAATAAACTGCACATTTACTAACCGAAACATAAAAATACTCATTATTATAACAATAATGCTCATAATAAACATGATAAACATTCATAATATATAAAGTGTTCAAATATGCAGCATAAATAGTTCACATAATTACACATAATATCAAATTCAAATTACAAATTACCAAATTACACATTCATCGATGAATTAATGAGCATAAAAATCAGAACCAATTATGAATTGATAAAAATAATCAAATTCAGCAAAGTATTTAGCAAACAAATTAGTCGATCACTTTATAGAAATTCATACAAATTAAAACAAGGATTAAATCCCGAAATTAATATAAAAAACAAAAACAAGATCAAAATTAATCACAGTGAATTCAGAATAATCTCTTCAGCAGAATGAATCATTCACATAATATCGAGTTCACATTACAAATTACCAAATTACACATTCATCAATGAATTAAAGAGCATAAAATTCAGAATTAATTATGAATTGATACAAATTAATCGATCAATTTATAGAAATTCATACAAATTAAAACAAAAATTAAATACAAAAATTAATCTCAAAAACAAAAAAAAAATCAATATTAATCACAATGAATTCAGAATAACTAACCTTGATTGATCTCATCGGGAATTTCGATGATTTCCATCACGAGATTTGCACAAAATCAATGGAAAAAATTAAGGAAAAAATAATCAAAAAACAGAGGAGGGAGAAAAATATGGACAAAGAATTTTGATCGAAAAAGAGGTAAAAAAATCAGATCAAATAGGGAAAAGAAAGATCTTATAAATAATGGGGGAAAAAGAAAGAAGCAGCTATATGGCGGGATTTGAAGAACAAAAAGAAGTTTGTGCGTTTAATGAAGAAATCAGTGCGTTTAATACCTGGTCCATACAGACTAGATGGACCAGGGTCCATCTAAGAATTTGTAGTGTGTTCGATTAGAGGATTGCTTTAAATTTCTTAATAGCCCAAATTCCCTGCCCATTTTTCTTTTCTAGTTAATAAACTTTTTTTTTCTCAAGCCCAATCCTCTTTATTAGCTTTTTATGTTGGACAAATATTTTATTATATGCCATATTTTTTTACGCGAGCCCAGTTGGAATTAGAGTCTAATACCAACCAAATTACAACTATTCCAAACTCTAGCTAAAAGATCTAAATCCATTTGAAAATTAGTTCATTACCAAATATTCTAGATCTACCATAATGAGTTGTTGTACATACTAGATTGTAACACTCCCAAATCTCCCTGGTATCAGGGGCTGATACATGTTGGGTTCAAGTGGGTTCATTGACCCACTGTATTTTTGAAAAAAATTAAAAGTTTTTTTTTAAAAAAAAAAAACGGGTTAAATAGAATATCTTCGTCATATTTAGTAACAAGTTAGTGTGAAGCCTAGTGATAATTTTTAGTGCGCGTCCTTCCTTCCCCTATAAGGAAGTCAGGGTTCGAACCCTCTCAACCCTTTAAGAAAACTTTTTTTTTTTAACAAAATCGAGACTTCACAGCTTCACTTTAACAAATTTCCCCTTTCCGAATTTCCCCCAAATTCGAAAACCCTAACTCACCTCTCTCTCTCTAACTCAATTGCTCCACCCGACACCCCACTAGCCACCACGACACGCTGGCACCAGGCGCCCATGGCTACTCGCCTACTCCTCCACGGCTCCACCAGTCTGCCCAGCGAGTACGACCTCACCCACGCCCCTACAGTACTCTATATAATTCATTACTAAATGGTTAATTCATTTAATTAGATTTATCTATTTACATTTAAATACTCAATTAGTCTAATAATTATTGTTATGCTAATTAGAAATATTATACCAGGGATTAAATAATTAATTTATTGATTGTAAATTTGTAGTGTTTATAATTGATTTATTGATTGAATACTTAAATTCTTGGTTGTTGGGGTTTATAAATTATAATTGATTATTGCTGTTAAATTAATTTGATATCTTAAATTACCATTTTATTCGTGTGTAGTTGATTTATCCAATGGGGATCTATTATTGAATGATAGTTTAGTCACTTTTCTTGAGAGGGACTTTTTCGCTAGAGTTAGTGATGATGATGTATTGATACGCTTCCAAAGTATGAAAACTCGAAGAATGCTTTTGTAGAGTTTTTTTTTTTCATTTTTCTAAGTGTAATCCATTTGTAATCAAAAATTTGAACTTATGTATTAAATCCTAGATAGGCCACTGCCTGGTATAATACGTAAAATTATATTGTGGAGATTGGCTTAAGCGTATTACTGCCACGTGATAATGTAAGGCTAACTTAAAACTTAAACTCATTAGAACTTGCATCGAAAACCAACTCCTACTTTGTTTATACTTCAAAATTCGAACCATTGCTATGAGTACTCAAAACTTAAATGCAAAACATCATAAAACCTAAACTAGGTGAAATTATTCCTAGGATCCTAAATGTGTATTGACTCCACCTGAAAATTCACAACTGCTTAATAAGGGAAACAGGAAAAACCAAAACAAAAAAGAAAGAACAAATTACAAAAATTAATATGCTAAGTACATATATATAAGTGCAAGATATGGAAATTCACTATATTCGCAAACATGATTTCAAAGATTCAATCAACAAATTCATAATACTTCCTTTGATATAAACCTTTAAATAACTCTTTTCAAATAACTCAATTAAATCCTTAATTCTCAATAACTCAATTATGATTTAAATTATTAATAATCAAATTCTTTTAATCCAATTCCTCTCTTAAGTATGTGCATACCCCCCAAGTTAGTATCTTTATATAAAAAGGTTATCATTGAGGAAAGACTATGTCATACAAAGTTCATACCCTTATTAATCAAATCCGCATAGTGGAATAACGTACATAACATGCTTATAAAGCTTTAAATAACAATTCAATAATTCCTCATTAATAATCCTACCATAAATCAATAATAAAATTCCAATTAAGTCCTTTTTTTTTAATTCAACACTTTTTAAACCAATTCCTCTAATCATACAAAAATTCAAGTCATTTAAACATGATATTAAAAACAATCCTTCAAACATATTTATTTCATAAAACTTGGTATTTAATTTCATTCATAACATTCATATAAATCCAATTCACATAAAATACGTTAATCAATTCAAGCACTTTAAAAAAAAGTATCTAGCCACCTAAACATACCTTGATCTTTGTTTAGCATAATTCAACACTTAGAACTCAAGAAGATTCACCAATAAAAAAACACTAGAATTAAATATCAAATAAACACAACAATACATATTGAAAATCCAAACTCTATGTGCATGAACTGATTAAATTTTCTTTAATAATTCTGAAATTAATTTTCGATTTTATTTAATTAAAACATTAAGAATAAGAAGAGAAGAAGATATGGATAACCGAAAGGAAAAAGAAGGGGGAGAGGTGCGATGGCTGGCAGTAACACTCTGGCAGGTGGATGGCGGTCAGGTTTGTTTGGAGCAGGTGACAATTGCTTGTGGGATGTGGTGGCCGACGCAAAAATCAAGGGAGAGGGAGGAGGAAATAGTTAGAAAAATACTTCCTCCATTTTATAATAGTTGCAACACTTCCCTAAAATTGCAACACACTATAATTGGTAAGTTATGTTGAGGAAAAGTTGTACTATTTCCCTTATTTTTAAAGTGCATGGCCCACTAAATTATACTTCTAATAACATCTCATCCCATTTTAAAGTATATTCAACCATAAACCTCACTTTTCTTAAGTTCCGTGAAAAAGTGTGTGTTGCAACTATTAAAAAACGGAGGAAGTAAGAGAAAGAAGAGAGAAATTTGTGAGTTTTTGTGTGTATTGGGGTATCTATTGGTTTAGAAGTGTAGGAATTTAGGCAAATAAGTGTAGAAAGAAATATGGAAGTTTTGAGTTATGAAATTACTTGAAGAGCAAAACTAGAGTTTAAGGCAAATATGAATTTGATGATTGATTAAAAAAAAATGAAATTCAGAAATTATTAATTTCATGGTTGATCATGAAACTGAAGAAGGCAAGAATAGGTTGCTTGGAAAATAATTTTGAGACAAATAAGATCAAAATATCTATGATCATATATTTGTTATATTTGAGTAGGAAAATATATAAATAAAGGCAAGATATTTAATTTGCAAAATCTAACAATAATCAATTTAATTAAGCTTGGTTGGCAATAAATTTTGAGCATTATAATGCTCAATATTTTCGGACATATTAAGCCAATTAGAATTAGTTTTTTAGTTTAGGAAATCCAAAATTATTGTGTAAATAATTAGGTATTTGTAGAAAATAACTAATTAGAAGTTCTAAATTAAACTAACCTAATTAACTAATCAAAATCACATTTTCTTTACTTAGAAAATTCGAAAATTTATGAGCTAATTAGTTTAGGAATTTCGGAACTAATTAAAATAAATAGGAAATAAATTTAAATAATTATATTATTCGAAAATATACTTAATTATATTTTTGTTTTTATTTAGATAATTAAATGGTTGGTTAATATTAATCAAAATCCAAAATAGTAGTTAAGTTTGAAAATAGTTTTGGCGCCAAAATTCAAATACCAATTTGGCTCCGAAATTCAAATAAACATTAAATTATCGAAATGCCCTTTTTAGAAATTTATTAATAATTAATTAGAAAATACTTCTCAAAAATCCAGGAGATTACATGATTATGTTTTCCTAACCCAAATCTGATGATGTATGCCAATTTGGTCGGGTTACATATCAGATAGCTAGAATTTCTTGAAATCCATTCATACCCCAACCCATTTTCATTTTAATCCACCTAATTTAGTCAATTTTAGGGGCAAAGCTTCATTATAAGCCCAAACTCATCCTTCACATATTATTTTTAACCAAAGCCCAATTCACTCAAAACAAACCCTAACCCTAATCCGAGCCTTTGGAAAAGTTCAAAATGAGTAAACGCGTAAAAAAAGGCCCATTAACATGTCACGTTAATTCGTTTTTTTAGTGAATATTCTTTAGGTACCTTTTCAATATGCTTGAAGGATTCTGCAAGATGTTGGCAGTTAATTTTTCTCGAAAAACGCGCAGGAAGTCACAATTGATATTTTACCCACAACAAGTGTCTTATATGTACTTTCAACATTTTTACTCTATAAAAAGCACCTTTATAGTCAGATGCACTTGGCTTGAAGGTTTCAGTATCAACACCTTATCTTTGGACGCAATTGAAAACATCTATCAACACATTTTCTTCTATTTGGAGGCCATCAAATAAGATCATGAGGCAATCAAAGGCAACATATTTTCAAGTTTAACTTCCCGAGGAGCGGGAATTTATGTTATTGTAGACACCCATTTGTATCTTCCCAAAACCAAACCCAGTGATGAATACCTTTCGCGTCGAACCATAATCGAATGAAGTGAAAGTGTAAAAAGTCAAGTGTTGCGGTTAGCTTTTATTAAAATTCTCTTTTCTCTGTTTTTTTAAAACAACCTTATTTTATTAAAAATAGTCAATCTAGTTTAGTTTGGTCCATGACAAGGGTCCAATAATAGTGTATTTAGATGGGGCTTGAAAAGACATTTCCAATTATATATTATAAGCCCAATTCCAATGAATAATGAGGAAGTTATGGCCAAAATACTAAACTGGGCCCAAACCGGATTTTACCTACGACCCAATGATCATGTGGAGGGTCCAAAGGTTTAATCCTATTCATAAACTAATTAGGATTGATTAGAATCTTCTATAAGATTCTAAAAAATCTTAATTATCCTTTTTTGAAAAGATAAGATCATAGAGTTTGAATTTGATTAAAACTTTCCTTTTTTTTACGGTCCTAATTCTATTCGGATTTAAAGATGTTCAAAGACAGTCATATATTATTTTCGTGCCTCATATTATTATATTAATTCTTAATTATTTAATTTAATTCTTTAATTTTATTATTTTCATTGAAGTTTACTAACGCGTGTATATTGTTATTAGAAAGAGGTACGAGGCCTCAAAGTAAGTAATTAGTTTACTCCCTTTTTATTTCTAAGAAGAAAGCATGTTTAGATTTGTTTAGTTCCTAGTATCATGTTAGGATGCTTTTATTGCTTTCTAGAATCATGTTTAGGGTGTCTCTTATTCTTTCTTATAGCATGTTAGTATCATGTTAGGTTTAAAGCTTTGATCTTTAACGCTTAGTGACATGCTAGGATTTGTTATTAATCTTGTTAGTATCATGCCTAGGATCTTTCTATTATATTTAAGCTTTATTATGTTACTAGTCCGAGTGCGCCACGCGCGTTGCGCGCGCACCGGTTTGTAAATCTTATTAAGAAAATTATTAGCAAGACATATAAGTAAGTTAATTAACTTACTTTTCGTAAATTTGTACATGATATATGCCTGTATACGTTATAAATTATTGCATTATTGTGTAAAGTATAATTAAGTTGTATTGAAATATATTAGTGTTATTACTTATTGATGTCATACATAAATGATAGGTATCTAACAAAAAGTTTTTATCATATTTACTGCCTCATGAAATTGTTTTACCTATGTATTTGTTTAATAAGAGTAAGCCCATGAATAGCCCAACAACTCCTTAAAAAATAATAACCCCTCCCCCTCTAGTATTTAGGTATATTGTTATTATTAATCGCTTCCTAATTTAGATTAACAAAATAATAACCCCTCCCCCTCTAGTAACCCCTGACCGAACTCCTTAAAAAACTTATGACCGAGTAACTCGAGTAACCACTAACCTAGTAGATCGAGTAACCCATGACCAAGTAACCCCTCGAGTAACCCTTAACTGAGTAACTCAAGTAACCCCTGAATGAGTAACACCTTAAGTAACCCTTAACTAAGTGAACCCCTCGAGTAACCCCTATCCGAACCCCACAAGTAATCTTTGATTGAATAACCCCTCAAGTAACCCCTGTCCAAGTGAACCCCTCAAGTAACCCCTGTCCAAACCCCTCAAGTAACCCTTGACTGAGTAAACCATCAAGTAACCCTTGACCGAGTGAACCTCTCGAGTAACCCTAGTCCCAACCTCTCAAGTAACCCTGACCTAGTAATTCGAGTAACCCCTGACTGAACCCCTCGGGTAACCCCTAACACAGTTCATTTTGTAATAATTGCAACACTACTTTTTTTTTTGTAAGAGTCCACAACTATTTTATTATTTCTCTCTAACCAACCCCATTTACACTTTTTTTATTATTATTTCTCTCACCTACGAACAAATAAATATGTCCCACTAACTATACTTTATATTATAAAATCACAAAGTTTTGTATACAGTGCAGCAAGGGTTACCCGAGTTTCTCGGTATGGGATTACTCGAGTTTCTCGGTATGGGATTACTCGAGTTGCTAGGGTTACTCAAGTTACCTGGTCAGAGGTTACTTGAGTTACCTCTTATCGAGTAACCCCTCAAGTAACCCCTGACGATTGAATAACCCCTCGAGTAATCAATGACTGAACCCCTCAAGTAACCCATAACCGAGAAACCCCTTCCCCTCAAGTAACCCCTGATTGAGTAACCCCTGACTGAATAACCCCTCGAGTAATCCATGATCTTCCCCCTCGAGTAACCCATAACCGAGTAACCCTTCCTCCTCAAGTAACCCCTGATTGAGTAACCTCTCAAGTAACCCCTTACTGAATTCTGAAGTAACCCCTGATGGAACTACTTAAATAACCCCTGACAGAGTAACTCGAGTAACCCTTGACCGAGTAGCTCGAGTAATCCATGACCGACTAACCTCTCGAGTAACCCTTGACCGAGTAGCTCGAGTAACCCATGACCGAGTAACCCCTCTAGTAACCTTTGACTGATTAACTCGAGTAACCTCATAGGTAACCCTTGACCAAACGAACCCCTCGAGTAACCCCTATCTAAACACCTCAAGTAACCCTGATCGAGTAACCCCTCAAGTAACCCTCGAGTGAACCCCTCAAGTAACCATTGTCCTAACCCCTCAAATAACCCCTGATCGAATAACTCGAGTAACCCCTTTCTGAATAACTTGGGTAACCCCTAACAAAATAACCCGCCACAGTCCGTTTTATAATAATTGCAACATTACTTTCTTTGGTAAGAGTCCACGACTATTTTATTATTTCTCTCTTACCAACCCTATTTACACTTCTTTTTTGTTATTTCTCTCTCCTATGAACAAAAAAATATATCCCATTACCTATACTTTATATTATAAAATCACAAATTTTTGTATGAAGCCTGTTGTATCGTACAACAAGGGTTACTTGAGTTTCTTGGTATGGGATTACTCGAGTTGCCGAGGTTACTCGAGTTTGTCGGTCATGGGTTACTCAAGTTGCTGGGGTTACTCAAGTTACTTGGTCAAGGGTTACTTGATTGGTTACTCCTTATCGAGTAACCCCTTAAGTAACCTCTCACCGTGTAACCATTCGAGTAATCCATGACTAAACCCCTCGAGTAACCACTAACCAAGTAACCTCCCCCCCCCCTCAAGTAACCCCTGACTTAACTCCTTAAATAACCCCTGATTGAGTAACTCGAGTATCCACTAACCGAGTAGCTCGAGACACATAAGTGAATGAACAAAGCTAATAAATTGATGGTTAATAGGTAGAGATGGCAATATTAAGTGGATATCCGCTAACCCGCTCCACCCGCTTAAAATAAATGGACGAAAACCCGAATTAAATGGATGAGAAGCGGGTGACGGATGAAGCGGATAATGGATCGGATCGGATGTGGATGATTTTTTTTTCACCCGCTAACCATCCACCCATCCGTTTAACATATATTAAATTTTTAATCAAAGAATTTTACTAATAAAATATAGAATGTGCAAGAAAATTACTTGTCTTTTTTTTGTTGCAAATTAATTTTTCAAACAATATGTTGTTATTGTTTCTTTTTTATTAATAAATTAAAAAAAATTATTATATAAATAACCGAAAATTAAAGTTTATCTGAGTTTTTTTTACATTTTAGTACTCATCCATTTGTCATCCGCTCCACCCGTTTCATCCGCGGATGATGGACGGACGGATATGGGTGATGGGTGAAGCGGATGATGGATGGATGTGGATGGAGCAATTAGGATAATGGATGGATGCGGGTGAAGCTCCACCCGATCCAAATCCGATTTATTGCCATCTCTATTAATAGGTTATCCTTAACCATCACTTTAATAGCTTTTGGCTAATAGGTTATCCCTGTTTCACTTACACTTTAAATATAATTAAACTTTGGAAAATTAAAATCAGATTACACTTTAAAGCATCCAATAATGATTGTTTAAAACTTTAAAAACTAAACTAATTGCAAACACCTTATAAATTGTGCCAAAACCTCAACATTGCACTAACGAAAATTAGTCTGTCCCAATAATTCTTAAGTAATTTAATTACAAAGTTATTCCATACATGTATCAAAATAGGTGGAACCCCAGTAAAAAAATTCTTTTGACATAATTTTGAGAGCCATTAAAACAAAGGAAGTTAATATATGTGCTAAAATAATGCTCAAAGTTTAGCAATCTGCACTGCTTCTAATAAACAAACTTCAGTTGAACTGCTAGCTCAATCATAATAGTTTAAAGCTTAAAACCAGTAAAATTGAGCCTCCTACATAAGCAATGGATAAGTTGTTGACACTTATTCCCTAAAAACAATTGAAATTTTGCAAAAGATTACAGATTATGATACATAAAATAAAACAAATACAGTCAGTCCAATCCGTTAAATGACATGGTATGTCTTCATAGAATTCTTCCTCAGCTTCCACCTTGCAGGATCAGACTTCATCCCAGCATCTCTCTTACCTCCTTAAGCAATAAAAACACAATAAAATATTAGATTGGGAAGCAAGCACATAGATTAAAAGGATAAAATTTGGAGTTCCCTTGAACTCCAATGATCACAATTCAAACCCATATAATAACATGAGGTCGTGGAGATCTTTTAACACCATTAACATGAGGTCGTGGAGATCTTTTAACACCATTAAAAAAAAAAGATAAAAGAGTCAAAAACTGCTAAGTATGATGATCCATAAGAGAATGATGATCCATAAGCAAAGACACACATCAGCGTATGATGATCCATAACTGAAGAGATTAATTTTAAAAAGAAAACACATACATCAGCGTATGATGATCCATAACTGAAGAGATTAATTTTAAAAAGAAAACACACACACATCAGCGTATGATGATCCATAAGCAAAGACTTTTAGAATCAAAGGCTAAGTATCAAACATGAGGGCATCATGTTAATCACACTGATGATAAATTGTAGAAGGTTTTCAACAATTCAAACTCCTTCCAAAATCAAACCCAAATCTCAACAGCTCCCAGAACTCCCAAAGGCTCTCTGCCCTTAAAACCCACTGCCTCACCACTTTCATGTTAGTTAGTAAATTTGGGCTCATACAAGGAACTTTGATCTGAATCAAATCGCAAGGGATTGCATAGCATAGAACTGTACACTCAAGGAGAGAATTAAACTTGGAGAGCCACCTGTTTAAAGGTTTCCTCAATCCAAAAGTTCATATTCTTTCGCCGAGGTTATACCAGTTATGCAACTCAGATGCCATTTTCAGAAAAAAAAAAAAAAAAAAAAAAAAAAATTATGTTGTCATTTCCATAATTGAACATCTAATTATTGAGGCTCAGTTTTATTTTATTTTTCTTTAGTCTCAGGCATAAAGAGGTCGTCATCCTCATATTCTTATCCTAACTCCACCTGAAGTCGCCATCCTCATATTCTTAAGTCTTAATAGTCACTTAGATGAGAACTCTATAATATCAATTGACCACCAGAGATAAAACAAACATTCAGAATGTATTTTCAGAACAATGCACCTAAGGTTCCAATGCAGCTAATTTATAAACAACAAACATCTCATTAAAATCAAGAGATCAATGAAGTAAATGTTTTAGCAGAAGCAAAAAGAGGATTCATTCAGCTTAAGTATATTTACCAAGATAGAAAATTCATGCCTCGACAGAGCTTGCCAAGGGAAGAATGGCTAACATCTTGACAGATGTCAAATCTTCCTATGTGCAGCGAAAGATTGATGCTAGGTAATCCTCACTCTCAAACCAGATTCAATAATTGGCTATCTTAGATTGTTTTTGATGCTGCATATGTTTGTTGGGTGGTTCAGTCATTCAGATTGATCCTCCTCCATGAATTTCTACTTCAGACAAAGCAACTTGTCTGTCAGATTAATAACCTGAAATCAATGACACCAAAGAATATAACTCACAGTGTTTAATGCTAATATTTAAACCTAGATCTTCCACATAAAATCAAATTCAAAACCAAAAAATCTGCATTGCCTCATAAGACCAAATAAATTATACGAAGGAAAAAACACCGAAAAATAGATTTGAAGCAGATAACAACAAAGACATGCATTATAGAAGAAGATAAATTAGATACCAATTTTGGCAAAATGGTCTACAAAAAAAATACTATAAATGCCCTTTCTTTGTGTTCTACAATGTCCACAAAGAGTCATGAATGCAAATGGATCGGATATGGTTCCCACAATTGTTTTTACAACAAAAATCCATCATACACACTAATTACAAGAAAAAGAAACTCAATTTCATTCAATTTAATTATTCGTCCTACATTATACAACCTAAATTAACAGTAAAAATTGAAATTAACAAAAAACTCATTCTAAAAATGAAAGAAAGCTACAACCAACAAATTCAATAACAATTAATCAACAAGCAATTCAACAAAAACAACATTGTAAATCATAAAATCAATAACAACAATTTTAAAAAGGCAGCAAAATACCTGGCAGGAGCCATACAATGTGTAACAATACCAAAATTGGCAAGGCATTTCTTCTTCCAGGGACCTAAAAGTTCATTGAAATTACCTATGATAATCAGTATTACATAAAGATAAATTCTAAATATAAAATAAATAAATAAATAAATAAAACAATTAGAGCACATCAATTCAACTAAAACAAAATATCATATAGTGAGGTTACCTCCCAAAATCACTTGGCACAGGGTGGAGTAGGACTGTAGGACATAAGCCCAATCATTTTACATATTCAAGCACTTCCCAGAATCTTCAAAGTAAAACTTAATAACTTACACAAGCTCGACAAAAATAAAAGAAGTGATTAATTTCTATACATGATAAATAACTTACCGATTGGAGAAGCACACACACGTAAGCATTTGAGCAGAGTACTTGAAAGCTTCTCTGAGATTATCCGATTCCTAAAACTGAATTTACAACTCAAAAACAAAATCAAACAGATCAAAGAGACATAGATCAACACACAAATTATGCAAAGAAGAAAGAACTATTAGCAGCCCGCCAAAAAAAAATAAACCATTTCAAACATGCAATAGTAGAGATTTAGAGAAAATTACCTTGATAATTGGAAAGTTGTAATCACGAATCAAACCAAACAATTGCTAACAATTCAACCACAGCAAGAAAACAATTAAATCATTGATAGTGGATTAGAGTTTGCAAACCTTGAGAACATGGTCAGGAGTTTAAGGTGTTGAAGTTCCTCGATCCGTTTGAGATAGGCTAGCCGTAATCCATGGATGTGGTGGTGTGTTCAGTGTTCTGCAACTATCGCTAATTGAGGCGGCGTAGGTTGTGGTGGTGGTAGAATTCTACATCGCTTCAAATTAAAGAGGGATACCAAGAAAAATTCAATTACAAACTTAAATTAAACCACAAAAACCTCAAAGTTTCCAATTACCCACAAAAATTCACATCTACCCCATTTCACAATCAACAAAAAGCAATCAAATGTTGGGTAATTAACCATCAATTGAACAACAAGAATAATCAGTTTTTTTTTTATTACCGAAAAGCAGTGACGGAGGGAAAATCACTGGTGGTAGACATAACACGAAAAGATCCAAGCTGTATTTCTCCCCATTCTTCTGAGAGTTAAGCATAGCGGCGGCGCTTCCACTGGGTGCAGCGTCGGATGGCTCATTTCCGGCAACGATGGAGAAGGAAATCAAACTACAAATCAAAAATTTACGATCAAAAGACTCCCTGATTCATAGATTACCTAGATTATTGTTAGATTTTTCAAATAATTTAGGAATAGATTAGAACAATCAACTTCTCCTAATTAAGAAAAATGAAGAGAAGAGGACATAAAGCAAACCATGAATGTGATTAAACGTGAAGAAAACCTAGATAAATAATTAAACTTAAATGTTGATTTGTCATGTCGTTCAAGAAAAACATCTTACCTTAGCTAGCTTTCTTCAATGGAGGAGAGAATTCTCATATCACCCTTCAATGGAATACTTAGAGCACGCTTTAATGGGAGAGAGAGAATGCTCAGCTCAATGAAGGATATTAGGAGATCAGAGAGTGAGAGGAGGAGATTAGGAGAGAGAGTTGAAATGAGTGGAAAAGAATCCATTTTCCCTAAAAGGATGTATGCATTGTAACTTTTGTAAGCACAAAGCAAAGAAAAAACCAAGAAGAAATTGAAGAGGGCAAAAAGGGAAGGAAAGCATTCAGCAAGAACAAAAAAATATTATGGCAGGGGCATAACCGTCCGAGCACTGTTCATAAGAGAATTGCTCAAAGTAAAAATTCCTCAACCCAATTTGGCTTTTATAAGGGTTATGGGGATTAAACGTGAAGAAAACCTAGATAAATAATTAAACTTAATTGTTGATTTGTCATGTCGTTCAAGAAAAACATCTTACCTTAGCTAGCTTTCTTCAATGGAGGAGAGAATTCTCAGATCACCCTTCAATGGAATACTTGGAGCACGCTTTAATGGGAGAGAGAGAATGCTCAGCTCAATGAAGGATATCAGGAGATCAGAGAGTGAGAGGAGGAGATTAGGAGAGAGAGTTGAAATGAGTGGAAGAGAATCCATTTTCCCTAAAAGGACGTATCCATTGTAACTTTTGTAAGCACAAAGCAAAGAAAAAACCAAGAAGAAATTGAAGAGGGCAAAAAGGGAAGGAAAGCATTCAGCAAGAACAAAAAAATATTATGGCAGGGGCATAACCGTCCGAGCACTGTTCATAAGAGAATTGCTCAAAGTAAAAATTCCTCAACCCAATTTGGCTTTTATAAGGGTTATGGATCTTCCTTAAGCTAACTGTTTGCAAAATCTATTTGACCAAAAAGCACTATCCTGAGACAATAATGTCCTAGCTGGACCCCATAGCATTAACCTGAAAATGTTCCTCTATACTGGTACCTTTCCCCTGCTATATCATTCTAGAAAGGTGTCAAATTTTAAAACATAAATAGGCATGTCACATGCAGTTGCCATCATTTCTTGATTGGGAAAGCATAACCCAGGAAACTACATCACAAGTAAGAAGCAAGGCACAACAATTCAAGACAAATTTCTGAGAGACAATATCAAAATCACTCAAGAACAATTGTATTTTAGGCAACTATTATCTAATGATTCTCATCATTGAGCATCAGACCCCATCATTGAGGATCAAACCCTCTCCTACAATAAAGACACCCCAAAACCAATTCATAGAACCCACTATTCATTCAGCATCATTATTCTAGAATTGGGAAAGAAAAGGGGATGAAAAATGAACCAAATTACCTCAGCAAGCCGTAAGGGGAAGATGAAACCTGAGAGGTTGTGGCAGTAGACGATTGAGGTGTTGGCAACAATGGCAACAGAAAATGGAAGCCAAAGTGAGAAGAAAAATTAGGGGGAAACAAACGGGAAATGGTTGAGATTCACCAACAGCTGTTTTTCTGCAAAATTAAAGAACAATGAAGTCAACACCTTAACTAAAGGAAATAAATGCCATTAATTTTACAAGCTACTACAAGACATAATTTGACCAAAAAATAATATTATTACTCAAATATAATCCCATGAACGATTTGATCCTCGTATTCTCACTTTCAAACCATCATATTTAACAAAGTAAAAAAAACTGCGTGAGCTCCCAGCCCCTCTATGTGTTCATTATAGTACAATTCAATTCACTATTTTCATCCAACATCAAGAACAATAATAATTACTTTTTAATTCATAAAGAACTCAATCCATAAAAATTACTAACCTACAACATCCCAATCATCTACATGGTTAGAAAATATTTCTAAACTACTTCACGATTCACAAAATTCATAAAGAACCAAACTTTACAACCTGTAGCATCAAAGCCTCATGAGTAAAAACCATGAATTATTGTTCTTGGCAAATCTGAAATTCATATCTTCTGAACTAAAATTTGATTAATAAAAAATCCAGAAATTCAAAACCCTATCCAACTCTAATTCCCACATACAGCCTCGGGGAAAATTTCTTTATAAGCTCCATGCATGTAACATAAGTATACAAAACCAATAGAATAGTATAGCACATCTAATTTCACCCACTTCAATTAGCAAATCCCAAATATTATAATTTTACTCCCAATATTGAGTTGAACCACAACTACCGAACATCATACACAAAGAAAATCATATATATAACAAAAATCCCAACTTTATTGGCTAAACCCATCACAATTAACATGCTTACACCACAAAAATTAATCCCAATCCCCATTATGAACAAAGGACTAACTGATTGAACTTAATATCAACATAAAAGAATCTCAAACGAAATGCAGTAGAATATATAATCATGTTTTGCAAGACAATCAATCCAAAATTTCATCCGAAATTTTCTGAGTTCAATAGAAAAAAGTGAAGACTGAACACCAATAGATTCTCGTCATTATGCATACCTTGCCAAACAAAGCAGGGCCAATAATCTCATTCACATTTTGACAGCCTACACATATACAACAACCATTATGAGCTAAACATAGTTTTTGAATCGAAAGGAAGTTGTTATGACTACCGCTAAACTGAAACTAACACTAACCTTAGAAACACTTTTTTTTCCTGATAATTACATCACAGGCCCATTACTATACAATTACACCCTAATGAAAATTATATATCTAGCAATTCAAGCATAATGAGAATGAAATCTCTAAAGACGAAGAAATAGAACAACAATACTGCATTAGTGACAGTATTCAATCTATTACAATCAAATTTTAGACAATGGCAGACTTTATACTAACTAAACACAATAAATGAAAACTATACATCTAACAATCCAAGCAAAATGATTTCTTTAAAGTCAAAGAGAAAGAGCACCACTTACAAAGACATTTCACCAAAGCTGCAAGACCACCCAAAACAGGAAAACAGTAAACCAATCTTCCACATTTTTAATATAAAACACATAGAAATTTCAATATAAAACACATTATTACAAATTTCAATATAAAATTTATATATTATTATACTAATCAAAATGCAACATACACTACAAGAAAAATTATATATAGAGGCAAAACTTTGAGGCAAATAATTTTTGGTAGCCTCTAAAGATATATTTAGTATCAGTTAAACTATGGTTGCCCCTAAAAGTCATTTTTAGCATTAGTGGATTAGAGGATGCCCCTAAATGTTCTTTTTAGCATTAATGAAATTAGTATTGCCTCTAAAAGTTAGCTTTAGCGTTATCAAGTTTTAAGTTGCCTCTAAAATTCCTATTTAGCGTTGTTGAAATTATGATTGCCTCTAAATGTTCATTTTCAGCATTATGAAAATATTATTGCCTCTAAATGCCTTTTTTTAGCGTGAATGAATTTTGCGTAACTTCTAAATATTATTTTTAGCATTAGTGGAATTAAGGTTGCCTCTAAACATCCTCTTTAGAATTTGTGAAATCATAGTTGCCTCTAAAAATTATTTTTAGTACTGGCGAAATTTACATTACCCTTAAGCATTAGTAGATTATAAGTTATTGCTAAAAATTTTAATTTAACAATATTGAAATTTAACAAAGGTACATGTTTATCTTCTGAAAGAAATGGTATTATTCAATTTGATATCATATCTGCAACAAAATTAACCAAATCAATACATATACTCCATTGCACAAACTAACCGACAAAACTTACTAACAAAAAAAAAAAAATCTATTTTCAATTCATGTATCATTTCATAAATCATCAAAACAAAAAATAAAAAACCCAATCATGAAATAAAACTACACAAATTTAAAATAACACAACTCCTAAGTTCTATTCCAATATCTCTTAGAATGAACCGAAACAAATGGATCAAAAAGCAAAAGCAATTGGAATATACAAAACATCATTATTTACCATCTCTAAGCCCCAAATTAAAATATATATATATATATATTTTATTATATATATATATATATATATATATATATATATATTTTATTATATATATATTTTATTATATATATATATATATATATATATATATAATAAAATACTATGAAGAGTGGTACAAGTACTTACATCATATTGAAAAAGGTATGGAGTATGTGAATTTTTTCTAAGAATGGAACGAAATTAAATCAAGTATAGAGGAAAATCAAGCCAAATTGAATAAAATAACTACACAATTAATTTTGTTCAACATGGTTATCTAGAATTAGCTTATGAAACAGAAAATTGCAAAATAAAATAAAGTAAAAAAAAAAATCATAAAAGTAATAAGTAAATCATCTACTCCGTATATATTACATGTGCATGTTTTGCAGATTACATTTCTTATTCTTTGTTGTGTTAGAACTAATGACAACCAAAGCATTTCCAATTTCATCAAAATTTTAAGAAAATTGATTAGAATATTTCTTGGTGTATCAAAGAAATTTGCAAATTGGGTTGAGCAATGACAATTGTGAATCATGGGATTATGCAATATCAATCCCAAGGTTTATTAAAGAGATTAACCCTAAATATTTTTAGTGTTTTGGCGGCAATTGAAAGTGGAATTAGCGCCTAATTAAAGAATTGAAAGAACTTTGTTTTTTTCTTTTTTCCTTTGTATTTTTTAGGAGTGTAAAAATATTGATTTCTATGAATATTTTACACTACAATCATACGAGTACAATTATAAATAAAAAAAACTTTTATTATGTGTATCTTTGGGACTTTGGGTTAGTATTTCCCAAAAAAAAATAAAAAAAATAAAAAAACCTTGAGTAGTACATTGAGACTGTCATATATTACACTGTTTACATAATTACATACTTAAATTCACTAGAATTTTGATTAGTACATATGAGACATATGTTATGTAAAATCCTTTTGTATTAGTCTTTCATATATCTACTCCCTCCGTATTTTATTACTTGCTCTATTTTTTTTCTTGAGCACGGAGTAATAGGATGAATAGTATAAATTATTATATTATGATAATAATGGAGTTGGTTGAAAATAAAAAAAAATGCGAATGAAGTAACTAATGATACAAATACTTCTTAGCACAAATGTCATTCAAATTGTTCCAATTACAATGAAATAGAAAAGTATATTATGTTACGATTTTACAACATAAACTCTAGTCGTAAGTACTTTATTGAAAAAAAAAATTAAATAATAAAATATCAACATTTAAAATTATTACAAATGAAGATAATATGTAAAATCAATACGAAAAAAAAAATTTAGAGTTAGCCCATTCTACTTATTTCAAGTAATTATAAGGGCCTGTTCAAATTTACTTAATTTCAGTTCAGTTTAACTCCAATCAGTTCAGTTCAGTTGAGTTCAGCTCCAATCAGTACAGTTCAGCTGCTAATTTCCTTCTCTCATAAAATATTTAGTTCAGCTCAGTTCAGTTCAGCTCCAATCAGTTCAATTCAGTTCATCTCTAATCGGTTCAGATAAGTTCAGTTCAGTTCAGTAAATGTGAACATGCCCTAAGTCATGGTATATTTAGGTAGGGTAAAGTTTACATTAGTTTTCCTAATGTTATAATCTAATACCTATATTTCATATTTTGTTCACAAATTATACACATTGGCTATTTTCACTTTACATTATACTATTTAAGTTGATAGCAACTTATTTTATAAATAATAAGGGTGTATTCTATTCACCTCACTGATCTTAACTTATCTTAACTTATTAGACCTAGCTTATTAAAACTAATTTTAATTGTAATTTGTACTTGAGGTAAACCTTAAACCTGAACAGAACTTATCTGAACTTATTACACCTGAAATAAGTGAAAATAAGGTGAACTGAACAAACCCTAACTTTTGTATGTAACTTGTCATACTATATGACCATCCACCCTGAATTACTCGGTTAGTGTAATAAGGGGTAATTTGTTATGGTTATAAGGGTTACTTAATTAATAGTAAGGTAGGACTTAGTTTGTCATTGTGGTAAGAGTTATTTAATAAGTAAAATAAGTGGTTACTCCATTAGTGTGACAATGGTCACTTAATAAGTGTATATAATAAGGGGTTACTCGATCAATATAATAAGGGTTACTTTGTCTGTATTATAAGTTTTACTCGGTTAAGGGTTACTTATTTAAGGGTTACTCGGTCGGTCAAGGAAAACTCTCACATAGAAAACGTGGTAACCGTCTTAGCAACTCTGTTATAGATAACCCTTGACCTACTGAACCCTATAAGTAACCCTGAATAAGTAACCCCTGCGAAACGCGCTAAGGGCCGGTTCACATTTACTTAATTTCAGTTTAGTGAAGTTCAGGTTCAGCTCTAATAAGTTAAGTTCAGTTCAGCTCCAATCCGTTCAGTTCAGCTCCCAATTTCCTTCTCTCATAAAATATTCAGTTCAGTTCAGCTCAACTGACTGAATCACTTAAAAACATATTCTTGGATTAAAATAAATAAAATTCCAAATAAAATACAGTAACAAACAAGAGCATAGCTTTATTTTTATTTTTTTTTACGGCAAGAGCATTGCTTTATAACCTTATTACAAACAACTAAACAAGCCTTTACATATATTTTCACCAAAAAAAAAAACAAGCCTTACCATATATAATTAAAAAAAAAAGAAAAAAATGCAAAGGAATTTCTCGTATCTTCCGCCATTATTTCTCCAAAAAGAACAAAACAACCCACCAAATCCTCCAAATATATCTTCAATTTCAACAATTAAAAAAAATAGAAAAAATCACTTATCATGATTATCTTCATGATAATTTTGGCAGAATTTCGTTTCAAAATCGGGAAATTTGCGAAACTAAACTAGCCCCAAAAAATTGAGAGGGAATTACTTTGATTTCATCAATTATTCCCTCCCCGATTTTGTGAAATACTCCGTATGTGGTGATTTATCCCTTGTCTATCTTTCTTTATCAAATTTTCCTCCCGTAATTTTACCCTAAGCAATTTCAAAAAACAATCTTACTGAACTCTGGACGAGCGAAGGGAGACGAATTAAAATAGCGTTTGGAGTTTGTGGCCGATCGAACTTGATTGGTCAGAGTACATATCACTATCCAAGGTAATTAAAATTTTCAATAATCAATAGAAGTAAATTGTTTTGGTTATTTTTAATTATTTTGAATTTAAAGTATTCTTAATTTTAAGATTGAATTAATTTAGGGTTATTATTCAAAATTTTTAGATTGAACTACTTTGATTGTCGAATTGAAAATGAATGCTATAAAATCTATCAATTTGATGCAATGTTTATTATCTACTATTATACTATAAGGGAAGTTTTGATAAATGTATAACGCTATTTAAAAATATTAAAATGTATAATAAGGGTTGAATTTGGTGAAAATATGTGTTGATTAATGATTTGTGTCAGAAAAATAAAGAAGAGATATAGAAGAATGAACAGCATATAACAATGTGTTGTGTGGGAAAAGAGTGAAACAGATGTTGATTATGCATATCAAATAGTAGTAATAAACATAAGAGAGCATGTATTTAAAAGGATTATGTTTGATCAAGGATATGATCATACGTGATACGCCATTAAGTTAATGCTCCCAGCCCCAACATATAAGGATTTAGCAATTTGTGAAGGCTAATAATGATTTAGCAAGGTCAAAAAAATACATGATATGGTTTATTATAATATTGTTTAAGGATAATGGCTTTGGTTGCACACTGAAGTACTGAACTTAGTTCTTTATTTATTATCTGATTATCATTAATCTATTTTAAGTGCCTTTGGTTTTTGGTAAAAAAATGACCAATGTATTCTTGAATCATTCACTAACCAGTTAAGCACTTAATTTTATCACTTATGAATTATCTATATTTAAAATGTTTTAATTGTTTGGTCTATTAATTGTAGTTATGGATTTCTTTACATTGTTATAGTGTGGTGTAATATTATTATGTAATTGTCACATATATACTGTAAGTAGTTTTTTTTGTTTGTTTGGGTTTTTTTTTTCTTAAGATTCTATTTGCTTATTTTTAAGAGTATTTGCATTTTTGTTTGAACATTTAATTGTACACAACTTTGATTTTGAGCAACCTATATCGTTAGTTTTTTAAAGCTTTGATTTCTAATATTTATTTTACACTTATATATGATTTGTTTTTTTAGTGCTGATATGTCTAGATCGGGTGGAAAAGCACATTCAAAGTATGATTACATAAGCCAAAATGAGTATGAACAACAAAGTCTCAAGACAATTGAAACTAACAAGATTAGAATGAAGACATTGGGCATAAAGCGCATTACTGCCTGTTTGACAAGCTTAGTAAGTAGTTCGAAAGTTAAGAAAAGTAAGCAGAAGTACAATGTTTCCCTTGAGAAAGATGGTGATTATGTACCCGAGGAAAATGAGGAAGTTGAGTTCGAGCAAGAAACTCACAATGTGACTTCAAATAAAAAGTATTGTCTAATTTTTATAAGTTAGTTATTTTTATTTACTTTTCAAAGTTACAAATTATTAATTCCATACTTATACAATGGCAGGAGATTATACAATGAAGATGGCTAGAGATCGTATTGGAAGAAATTGAAGAAAATAATGTCTTTTTTTCAAGCTAAGCTTAGAGTTTTAATGAAAACTCTTTGTTATTTCACTTTATCAAATGTTTATAACAAGTCATGTAATTGTATTGAAGCTAGCTAAGTTATTTAGTAATAACTTAATTACATTTTTTAGATCAATAATGTAATGACTATTCTATTATAAATAAAAAAAATTTAGTTTAATTTAATGAAATCAACATTGTTAATCATAAAATTGGATACTCTATGAATAAATTGTGTATATCTGATTTAAAACCAATGTATGTATTAGAGGCATATATTATGTATTGTACTATTGTGCCTCCAAAAAAAATTCTCGTCAATTTTTATTTGCATCAAATATCATTAGCATTAATATACAAATTGCTTCTAATTATATTTTGTGACAAAATGATATGACTGCCCCTAAATGCATATGTTATTTGGAAGCAAATTTTAATGATGCCCCAAATCATATATTGAGGCAAAAATTATATGGTTGCCCTTGAATATATATGGTATTTTGTAGCAAGCTTTTATAATGCCTCTAATTATATTTAGAGGCAAGATTATATGGTTGCCTCTAAATATATGGGTTTTTAAAAGCAATATATTGTATTGCCTCTAAAAGAGGCTTTAGGGGCATTCCATTAATTAGCGACAGACTTATTAAGGGCACTTACTTTGTTGTCTCTAAAAGTAATTAGAGGCCACATCACTATCATTTGAAACATGTTTTTCTTGCTTCTGTAAGTAATTTTTTTTGTAGTGATAGAAATAATCAACAAACAAATAATCAAGATCTACATAAAGAAAACTATGTATAACGACACCTTACTTTCAACCTCCACTTAATTATGAGTTTACAGCCATCTTCCTGAAAGAGAATAGAGATCAAGGGTTAAACCTGTAACCTTCTTGAAATTCCATTATAGCACCCTTCCAAACACCTTACTATTGCTTGCCCTAAAATTACCATTGTGAGAAAAGGTTGAATTAGACTCATACTTCTGACATTTTGAGATAATGAGAAACTATACAACTGAAACAAATTTTTAAAATAATATTAAAACTCACCTCCAGATTACCAATCACTTAAAACAATCCCAACTGTGTTCGTATACCTTTTACAAGCTTAAATTATAACAAAAACAGCAGTAGCAGCAAACTGATATCCCTAAATTTGCAAAATTGACAACTAAACCTAACAACCAATTAAATGCAATGTCTTTATCTTCAGGTCATTGGTAGGCTGAATTACCAAACATCGACCCTTAAATCATAATTTAATTTCACAGGATCAAACTAAATAAGACCCTTAATTTGAAGTCGAAAATGCAGAAAAACTGAAGAAAAATAAAGACTAAGAAACAACAAATTTAAAAGCGATAATTAACTAAAAGGCCTAATCAGAGATACAATTTTAATTTCAACGACACATAAATTGTTTGAAAGCCCTAATCCACAAAGAGACAACTTCATTTGAACAATTTGTTTGACATATTTTCATTAATCAACCTCCAAAAAAATTTTTAAAAAAAAAATACCTAAGAGGAGATAGAAAGCGCCGACATCGAGCACAAGCTTAACACCAGCATCAACACCAAAAACGAAGCTTTCGATAACAGCCGCCACCTGAACAATGACAATTGAATCAACCCTAAAATGTCCATTTAATGACAAATAAATTAACAGTGAACCCTAGATTGTGATTTATAATTGATGATTGAATTTAACAGCTTAGATTTGAAAGTTTACCCTCTCCAATGAACAATCTGCCTCTGATTGCATAGTAATTCATCTCCACTGGCCGTGAATGGGCGATCATATACTTTGAGTAAACCTTGAAACAACTAAATAATGAGGAGAATGAAAAGCGTAAAATATAAGAGGAGAGAGATTAAAGAGTTCTGAGCAATCAGAAAAAGTGAAAAAAAAGCAAAACAAAAAAAAATGAAGAGGGCAAAAAGGGAAGGGAAACATTCAGCAAGAACAAAAAACAATTATGGCAGGGGCAAATCCGACCTAGCACTGTTCATAAGGAAAATGCTAAAAGTAAAAATTCCCCACCCCAATTTGGCTTTTATAAGGGTTATGGATTATGATTATTATGATGTTTATTATTATGTTGCTTGATTTATTTTATTGTTATTGCTTGAGCACGCTTTTTACGCATGTTTAAAGGGAATTTGTACTTGAAATTACGCCTAATAAGATAATTAATAATTTGGTTTAGGCTAATATGATTTTAATTCAAGTGATCACCAATAATATTTTTATTTGTGCATTAATATTCAACCAACATATATAGATAAACAGGTTTAGGGTTAACCTATTGTTTGCATGTTAGTCAAAAAGCGCACATGAATACGAGTAGAATAAAGTATAGGCCTATTTTATAGGGCGGGTCCTCTCTTTCGTAGATTGGATTCGTACCCTCATCCTCGAACCCTATTTGGTTCAAGACCTTATGGATTTGACGATCTCATGGATCGTTAAGGGGTGTAGCCTTCACCTCGTGAACGGTTTACATGTTCCTAAAACTTGTTGGCGACTCTTTTGCTCTCTTTTCTTTCCCTTTGGACGCCACCATACTTAAGTGTATGATCACAGTGGGGTTCAAGCTTGGGGTTATGGTGCTTGAAATATTCCTTACAGTGTTTTGGCGACTCCGCTGGAGAAGATTTCTATTTTAATTCCTGAAATTTATTTTGGCAATGATTTAGAATGAGCGAATGAGACTCGAAAAGTTCTAAGTTTTCATGTGCGTAATTTTGATTAGCATTATTGTCATATGCATAAAAAAGGTCCTCATTGGATATACCATCCGAAATGAGTCAAAGACATAGGATTTTTGCACGTAGGAAATTTGAGAAATATCTTTCACAACTAGAATCGAAATAATACTGTGAAATCTGGAAAATTCTAAGACCGTAGATACCTGCTGAGGCATGTAGGAAATAGCGTAAGAAAACTTGCGGGGTCCCATCCATACGCGCCAACCCTTTCAAAGGTAAGGCTTCTGCGCGATGCATCCGGACTCATAACCATGGACCCTCTTTGACTAACCCATATCCTTGAACTTTAGAGAACTAGAGCCATGGTTAGGTTGCAAACTCATTGCATCATGTTGTGACTACTTGACTACTTGTGCATTATTTGCTTGTGCATAGCTTATATGTGACTAAACTAACCGTTTGGTTTGACTTGTGTTTGTAAATAAGTCTTAAATAAACTAACCAATGAATAAAGGACTTTTTTAATTAATTAATTAATTAACTTGAATGAACTAATAAATATGCCTTAAATCGAGTCATAATTCCTTTTAGTCAACCCGGATTTTTATTCCCGTATACTGCACATGCGTCAACTTGTTTTGGTCATAGCCGGAGTTCTAGGAAGAACCACGAGTCGTATAATCTATGGATCTGTAGCCCCGAGTTGTATCTTTCATTAGGCGTTGGTTTCGTCCAAATCAGAGTCACAGTTCAAAAGTTATGACTAAAATACTACAGCCTGTTCAGTTTAGTGCACATACGTGAAGTCTTAACTTAGTCTTTGCTTGAGTCTAGTCACATAGTCTAGCCACATGGTCATGACACAAGTCTTAACATGTCACTTAAACTCACTAGTCTTAGCACACACATTGTATATGTCACCATGGCCACATCTTAGGTTCATGCATGAGTCGTTTTTTCGTCATTTGAGTTGAGGGTCCATCCCATTCCTAATTCCTTTCATGTTTTCTTCCTATCTATTGCATGTTGAAAAGAGATTGAGTCAAAATAATTAATATAGAACTTATCCCTAATTTCCCTTTCCACATTACTTGGTCAAGGAGAGAGGGGCGATTAATCAAGGACATCACCTTTATTCAAGTGCAACTTTTTGATAAACCAGTCAGTCGGAAAAGAAAAGCTAAGAAAATAATGGCAACTCAAGATGAAGTCAATAAACTTAGGAAGGAATTGGCTATGACCGAAGGGTTGAAGGCTTTAGCCCTTAAAGTCAATGACCCCGTGAGACAACAACAAATGGAGCTCATACAAGAAAGCTTAGGCAAACTCTCTAATGATTATAGATTCCAGGACATTAGTTCACAAGGGGTCTCGGTGGACAAGAAATCTCTTTCGCATAAGTTCAATGTCAATGACGTCCCTAAGTTTAAACCAACTGACAATCCTTACTTTCACTTAAGGGCCTTTGAAACTATAATGAACATTAAGAGGATTAATAGGAAGAGTTTTCATTCTTTGTTCTCACTGTCTTTAGAAACCGTTTGTCAACAGTGGTTCTTTTCTCTTGGAAAAGAGAAAATCTCTTCTTGGGACTCAATAGCAAACGCTTTCATAGATAGATATAAGTGCAACATTCAAGATGAAACAGACCACAGACAACTTGAGATGTTAAAACAAAAAGAAAACGAAGGGTTCACTTCTTTCTTCAACAAATGGAGGGAAACTTCAGCTAATATGATTAAGGTTCCTACCGAAAAAGAGTCCATACGGATGTTCATCAAGAACCTTCAAGAAAAATATGCAAAGCACTTAAAATACCAACACAACTTGAATACTTTTCAGGCTGTGTATAATATAGGCATTGACATTGAAGATGACCTTTTGTAAGATAATAGTGCGAGAGGAAAGAAGAACGACCATCCTTCTTCTTCCTCTCCCATTAAAGAAGTACATGCTACAAATACCTCTAAGTATCGAATCCAAAGGTCAAAAAGAGTGTTCACTCCACTTGGTATGAGTTATGAAACAGCTTTTGAAAAGTTACACCACAAAGGACTAGTCATGCCCATAGGACCTATCAAAGACCCAGTTCTAGAAGCCAGGCCACCTAAGTGGGATCCTAGTAAACACTGCAAATATCATCAAGGAAAGGGTCACGACACCGAGGAGTGTTGGAAACTCAAAGAAGCTATTCAAGACCTGATCGATGACAATAAAACTTCCGAGATTCTAGCCATCACAGAAGATCAAACATCCTTCGATCCTTCACTCCTTATCACACCTATAGGTGAGCCCATGATCGATATAGCTTTTATAACCTCTATTGATGAAGTGGCCATGATTAAGGAAGATGAAGGGGTTTTCTTAGATAACACCGGGGAAAATTTTTCAAGTCTAAAAGAAGACGTTGGAAAACTGCAAGATGTCATTGCCATGCTCTTGAATGTGGTAGAAGGACTAGCAAGTCGGATAATGGTTATCGAACAAAATTCTCACCAAGGGTTCAATGAAGAATTCAATGCTCCTAAGCCACGGGCAAAATGGACCATGGAAAACCTCATTGATTCAAATCACCTTCATATTCCTCTTAGCAACAGGAAGGCCAAGAATAGTAACAATAATAACGGTGGCTGGAAAGGAAAGAAGAACAACAATCCTTCTTCTTCCAAAACTACCCACTCAAACAACGTTAGCACATTTTACTTGGATGAGATCCTTGCCATGAACAAACGAGGGCAAATGAGAAACTTCACACCTATTGGTATAAGTTATGACATCGCATTTGACCGTTTACATGAAAAAGGTCTTATAACTCCCACTGGACCGTATGGGGATCCACCTGTCAAAAGAAGGACGACTAGCTGGAATCCCAACGCACATTGCAAGTATCACCAAGGTAGGGGTCATACTACTAAGAACTATTGTCCAATATCTGATTGACAATAGCAAGCTTCCTATACCTCCAGTCAGAAAGAAGTCCGAGTGATGATAAGGCACAAGACAAGAGGCGAGCTTCAACGACAAGATTTCGTGACCTCTTTTTCTATTTCTTTTTTTTTTCCTCCTTTCCCCAATAAGTCTAGCATAGGCACGTGTCACTTTCCTTTAGATTTGTTTTGTAGGACTTTAATTAACTTTTTCCTTTTAATAAAATGAGCATTTTATTTTCTTGCATATGATCATTGCGTTGCATTGTTTAAAAAAAAACCCATGTCGAATTAAGCACAAGGTATACCAATGATTTGAGGCACCCTTTGTAGCCTATCATATCATCTTTACCCTTTCAAATATATAATCCCTTCTTGATAAACCACTTTGAGCCTCGTCTAATGATAGACTTTTCTTTCTTCAACACACATCTACTTAACCTCCGGATGGGATGGTGTGCAACTTATGCAAGTTCTAAATACAAAGCTTGAGTGATTTTACCAAAAAATTCAAAAAATAGCAAAAATAAGCAAAAAAATAATAAAAGTGTGCAAAAGGGCAAGTGTTCCAATGTCTTTGACATGAAAATATCTTTGATAAGAACATGTCTCAGATTGCTTCTCTTATCGAGTGCTCGGTACCGTGCCTGAGAAACATGAATGCCAAGTGAGTGATAGACCGCATGATTGAGATTGCCCACACTTAGTAAAAATGAGATTCAAATAGAAAAAGCAAAAAAATAAGCAAAAGAGAGAGCTAAAAAAAAATAGTTTAAAGCCTCAAGCATAAAAATACAAGAGATTCAAAAGCAATGTTCCACACCTTGGGGGCTTATCTAGGGTCTTGAGCTATTATCCCCTTCTTCTCTAACCTTTAGCCTAACCACGTTACAACCCTTAAAAAGACCTTTTTGAGGTATACACACACTTGCGCGAGGTTCGAATAGAGCTACATTCGACCTGATTCCTAACGGATACGTAGACAACCTCACCTTGAGGTGCGTCCGTAATAAAATGCATTCCTTTTCACATTCACACTTACACCATGATCATATCAAGAGATCTCCGATGCTCATCCCTATTTACTTAGAGCTAGACTTGGGGGCTTGATCCCTACATCATTAGCCTACCTAGCCTAAGAGTCACCATTATTTGACTCTTATCAAATAATACTTTTCCACACCGTTAGCTATTGCGGCCTAACTTAGTGTCACTTTCACACACTGCATAGATACATGACCAAATAGTCCTTCCTTCAGGAACCCTTTGTCATGAAATCTTAACACAACGTTGAAGCATACTTTGTCATATCAAAATCACTCATTGTCATAATCATCATTGCGTCACAAAGTATGAATTACTTAGCCTCCGCGCCTAAGTTACCCAAATACTTTCATTATTGATTCAACA